CTCCCTTCGTTACTCTCCCTATATCTCCCCTATTTTCTCTCTATCTCTCTCTATCTTCCATTGATAATTTATTTTCTTTTCAAATATGTAAAGCTTTGGTTTAATTTTTTCATCTCTCTCTCACTTTCTCCCTTATTTTCTCTCACTATTACTCTCTCGCTCCCTATTTCCTCTCTCTCTCTCTCTTTATATTGACGTTACAACAATACAATTACATTAATTAATTACATCAATCAGTCACAATTGCCCTATAATTTATTCTAATCAACCAAACAGTTTCACCAAATAATTACACAAAATTATGACACTAACTCAATTTGTCATTCAGTTGCTTACATAAATCAAAAAATTGCATCATTTAGTATCACGACATGGTTATACCAATTATATACACCAAAATTTGGTATAATGGTAAACCCAATTTCGTGTATATAATTGGTGTAACCATGTCGTGATACTAAATAATGTAACACTTTTATTTATGTAAATAACTAAATGACAAATTAGGCTGATATTTTAATTTCATGTGAATGTTTAGTGTAACTGTTTAATTTATTAGAACACATGAGTAACTGTTTGATATATTATTGGATAGTTGTAACAACTAGTGTAACTGAGTAGTGTACTGATTAGTGTAATTGTGTTGTTGTAATATTAATATAAGGAGAAAAAGAGAGAAAATAAAGAGAGAAATAGTAATGGTGATCGAAAATAGGGGAAGAGAGAGTGAGATAGAAAGAAAAAAATAGGGGAGAAAGAGATAAAAAATTAAATCAAATATTTACATATTTGAAAAAAAAAATTATCAATGAGAGAGAGAGAGAGATAGATAGAGAGAAGATAGGGAAGAGAGAGCAATGGAGAGAGAGGGAGAGAATGAGTAATGGAGTAATAAATGGCCTTTCAGTCATTTTTCAAAAAAGTTCAGTTAAAGCCAAATAAGTTTCATTAATGTAATTTAGTTCAATTAAGTCCAAATTTTTGTATTGGCTTCCAAATTACCCATTAAAAATGGGTTTTTTTAAGGCCGGTCCACAGTGTTGAACTTTTGCGGCAAGAAGGATAGGAGCATTTTTTTGGCTTAGAGGATAATTAAAGGTATAAAGACTAATTTACCCTTAATGGCATAAATATCTATATCAAAAAATGGATAATAATCGCAACATAGTAATAATACCAATTACTATCACAATAACACAATCACAGTAACAACAATGCTTGTGTGGGTGGGGTGTAAGGGACGATGGCTGGGAATGGAGATGCTATAGAAAATGGCAGGGCTAGAGCATGGAGTGATGGTGGACTAGACAACAATACGAGCACAATAACTGCAACATGATCACAGTAACAACAACAGTCACTATCAAAATTTTATGGAACTAGATAATAACGTGAACTAAATAGTGTGATCACAAGAACAGTTATAGTCACTATCAAAATTCTATGGAACTAGACAGTAACATGAAATATATAGCTACATGATCATAATAACAGTCACAGTAATAGTGATAAAGATAATGAATTAAAGTTACAGTTTCGCAAGCTACAAACTTAGTTTGTTAGATAAAGAGCCATCAATGATTTTATGACTACATATGAAACCCTCTATCAAACTGATGCAGGACATGACTTAATAGAGAGAATCAACTAAAATAAAAGTAGAAATCTATATTCCAATCATCAAATAATTTACGTTGGAAAGGTTCAGAGAGCATGTGGAAATCAATGGTATTAAAAACACCTTAATGAAACTCACATGCACAAAATAAGGAAGGGAAATTCTTACAGTCCACAGGCGCTATTACAATCCTGAACGCTAGCTTCTCTTCTCCCTCCAGTGAAACCCCTACCGTCTGGCCAAAATAATTTCTCATCCAACTCCTATAAATGTCTAAGGTTTTCCCTCTCTCTCTCTCTCTCTCATATATATACATCGGTCCACCCCCACGCTACAACTGTGGTCATATCCAACCTATTTCTTCATATCCATTCCTTGTTGATGATGATGGCAGATTTTTCACAAGAGCACAAACTCATGAAGATCCACATTAAAAAGCTTCTTGATATCCAAACCCTAATTGGGACCAAAACCCAAAGGAAGAAAGGGGAAGATGACCTGATTTTTTTATTACGTTTGAGATCATCAAATGGAGTCCCAAGAAAGTTTTGGGTTTTACATTCAATATCTTTGCTCTGGTTATGGAGCTCTAAGAAAATGTAATGTAACTCAACCACTTGTCACCTAAGTAATTAATTGTCGCCACCACCACCACTTGTGACCTAGCTTTTCCGACACCATTGCAGCCTACCACCTTGATTGTGGGCCTCGAAGTCTTGCTCGGTTGAAGATGCCATGGCTATGATGGCATTGAAGGACATAATAAGAAATAAAAAAATAAAAAGAAAATAAACTATTGGACCTACTTAAAAAAAAGTACATAACATGTGTCCTTAGTAACCTAAAAAGATTTCCCTTAGATCTATTTACAAAAGAGATCCCATATTATATTTGGTTCTAATTTGCACTTAAAAAGAGGCCCCAAATCTATAGGTTTACTACATAGATCATATCAAAATTTTGAAACCATAAAAATTGGAGAAATTTGGAAGTCGGTACAAAATTTAGACTTAATTGAGATAAACTACAATAAGAAACTTATTTGGTACTAAGTGCATGTATTTGAAAAAAAGACTAAAAGATCATTCATTACTTCATTACTCTCTCACTCTCCCTTCCCTATTTTCTCTCTATCTCTCTCTTCAATACTCTCTCTATCTATCCCCTATTTGATATCTCTCTCTTTCTTTCTCTATACCCCATTGGTAAGTTATTTTCTTTTCAAATATATAAATATTTGATTTGATTTTTTCATCTCTTCCTCCCCTATTTCCTCTTTCTCTCTCTCTTTCCCTCACTCTCTCTCCTTATTTTCTCTCATCGTTGCTCTTTCTCTCCTTATTTTCTTTCTCTCTCTCTCTCTCCTTATATCAACTACACAATTACATCAATTAGTTACACCAATTAGTTACAATTGTTCTGTAATATACCAAATAGTTACTCATGTGTTCTAATAAACCAAACAGTTACACCAAATAATTACACAAAATTACAACATTAACCCAATTTGTCATTCAATTGTTTACATAAATCAAAGAGTTACACCATTTGATATCATGACATGATTGTACAAATTATATACACCAAATTTGGTGTAATGGTAAACTCTTTAGTGTAATAATAAACCCAATTTGGTATATATAATTAATATGACTATGTCGTGATACTAAATTGTGTAACTCTTTAGTTTATGTAAATAACTGAATGACGAATTAGGTTCGTGTCGTAATTTTGTGTAATTGTTTAGTTTAGCAGAACATGTGAGTAACTGTTTAGTATATTATATAGTAATTGTAACTGATTTGTATAATTATATTGTTGTAATATTAATATAAAGAGAGAGAATAAGAATTTAAAGTAATGGTGAGAGAAAATATGGGGATATAGAATGAGAGAAAGATAAAAAATAGTAGAGAAAGAGATGAAAAAATCAAATTAAATTTTTACATATTTGAAAATAAAATAAATTATCAATGAAAGAGATAGAGGAAAAAAAATAGGGGAGAGAGAGTGAGAGAGTAACGGAGAAGGGAGAGGGAGAGAGAGTAACGGTGTGAGAAATAGGGAGGAGGGAGAGTGAAAGAATAAGAATTATACATAATTTAAGGAAAGATAAGTAAGTAAAATAAATAAAAGGTAATTTGAATTTTGTATCTAATCACAAGATGTTTTATTAAAATTAAACTTAATAGAATAAATAATTTATTCATACACTTTCTCTCAAATAAGTCTAAACAAATGTTCTCATATTCAAAAATTGAATCCAACAAAAAGTTTTAATTAAAATTTTAACCAACAAAAAAATCTTAGTTAAATAATTTGGGCCAAAAATTTATCCCAGACACAAAATAAAATTGAAAAAATTGGGGACCAGTCCATTTTTTTCAAACTTATTTGGCAACAAGTTCACTCAAAATCTTTCTTTGGGTTTAAGTCTATTTTGATTTTTATTGTCCAAAATAAGCCTCATCAGTTACATTTAATTAAAACAAATTTAAAAACTAAATTAAATTCAAAATTCCTTATTCTTAGATCTTTCCTAGATTAGGACTATTTCTCTCTTTCATAATAAGGTTGAATGATACTATAGTAAAAGTAGTAACATCCAAATCAAAAAATTGTAACATTCAAAACAAAAAAATAGTAACATCTAAAACACAAAACATAATCATTTAAAACAAAAAATAATAATATCTAAACACCAAAAATAATAATCTCTTTCACCTGACGCTTAGTTTGATAAAGAGTTCTTTACCTTTCTGTTTGGAGTACTGAAATCATGTTATTTTTTTTAAATGGAACTCTTATTGGTCTACACTTTACATGCTTCAAGTCTTGCATTACGAGGTTATAAGAATAATATGCTCACACACTCAAACCCATCAAACGTCAACTCCCAATCTTCATAGTCATGAATTTGATATAACACATAAACTTTCTAAAGCCAATACAATTTAAACTTCTGGCAAATCGATAAGCCGATATCTTCTATTCTATAATTCATTAATTTTGTAGAACATGAAGATTGAATGATAAAAAAAAACAAGAAAACAAAATTATGAAAATAAATAATGCTAAAAAAGGATTAAAAAAAACATAAAAATAAAAACAATTCTAAAAAGTAGTACTAGACGATCTTTCCCACATGTCAAAAATCTCCTCTATCGAGGAAACACAATCATTGAAAGCAATGTTGTATCTAATTAAATACAATAATTAAATTAGTTATAATTTATAATATTTGATGGAATTTACTTTTAATGTAATTGATGAGACCCAAATAATATATTCCTCAGTCAACTCAGATTCTTAGAATGAGGCTCAAGGGTGATTCATCCCCTCTTGTGCCATGATTTTCATATTTTCTCACAAAATCAATAGTCAATTGACAAAAAAACAGATCATAACAATTTTTCAACCAAGAATCGTCATAACAAATATGCCATACGCGTGGCTGTAAAACAAATTTCGAAGTGTGCGTGATACCTTCTCGATCTTGAAATACTTTTACAATCTCATCCTTGTTCTCAAAAACAAAAGAAAATCAAACATTACTTGAATCAATCTCTTCTTCATTAGACAAACACAAGACCAAATGAGTCCTCCCCGTCTCTCCTGAAGCTCCAGCCGGCGAAGAACACGGTGAGCAATGCACAGGAGCCATCAACGATAGGCAATTCTCACTCCATGCCCGTCTCAGGGGGTAACACACATTTGTATACGGCGACGTATGGGAGCAATGGCCGCTCGATTTATGTAATGCACAGCTGCAGTTCCGATGATATGGCCGCCTTCCGATCCCCATGTCGTGGCCGGAGATGCATCCTTCAAATACTCGCCGGAGTAGTCCATCTCCAGCTGCTCCTGCAGCCATAGCCTTACCACCTTTCTCCAAAATAGTGAATTTAGGAGAGAGAATGGGGTGGAAAGGCATATAAAGTATATATAGAACACGCGTTTTGGGAGCTAAACAGTACGAATGAGTCAATGCAAAGGCGGTTGTTAACGTGTTAGTCGGCATCTTATGCCGTGTCTTATGGGGGTCATATACGAAGTACATGGCGTGGCCTTTGTGTGTACACGTGCCCATAAATGCGCTTAATTAAACCATCCGAACAACTCGAGGTTAGCTTCAGAGTTTCAGCTTGATCAGTTTTGTTTAAACGGGGAAAGTCTACACTGCGGGAAAAAAAAAATTAGTATCAAACGGAAATTATAATTTTTTATGATAAAATTACACCTTTTAAAAAAAATTATAACTATTCAAAGAAAGACCATCATCGATCTCAAATACCCACAATCATCGTAAGTTTTTCTTGAACAATTGTCACTTTTTACTTTTGCATTGTAACTTGACATTTAAAAATTATAACTTTTGAAATCGATTTCAACTTTCCATGATCGATCATGCTCTTTATAAATTATAATTTGCACTTCAAAAAAATTATAAGTTAACTTTAAAAAATTATAATTTTCGGTACCGTACCACATCAGTACCACAGCCTTTCCCATTTAAAACATACATATTGGGTAAAATATCTTCAAAATATAATTGTATTTTTTTGTGTGTTCATGAAAAATGAAAAAAATGAAATCCCACATTAGTTGCGACAAGAAATTCAGGTTGCTTAATAAGTTTTTAATAAATTCTCATCCACTCCTCCAAAGATTAGGTCTTTGTAGAGGTGCTGCTTGGACTTGGAATTATTGGGCTTCTTGGACTATTGCGGATGTTGGAGAAAATATGTTCAAAATATGCATGTATCCCCTTGTGTGTTTATAAAAATAAATTTTTGAGAAATAAATCAAATTGATTAAAAAAAATTATGAAATCATATTGTGAACAATAACATGTAGTTTGGCTCAAATAGAGTTGACTTATGCTCCGTTTGGTATAATGAAAAAATAGGATGATGAAAAATTGGAATGATAGAAAGTTAGAGGGATAAATAAAATATCATGTTTGGTAAAGAAGGAAAATAAGAATGATGAAAAAGTTGATGAATTAACTTTCCTTCCAACTCACCAAAATTAATCCCTACAAAATTAGAAGAAAAGTGGATAAAAAATTAATTATTTGTGTTGAGATTATCTTATTTGTCTATATATATATATATATATATATATTATGTATACATTAATTTCATATAAAAATATAATGATAAAATATGTATGCATATACATTTTTGTTAAAAAATTAAAAATAAATAAAATTTTAAATTTTAAATTAAAAAAAATATTTTTTTCCATCTTAGCTAAGAATGAAAATTTTTGACTCAACACGATGACTTGACTCGAACTCGATACAAATTTTATTACACAAACTTGATTATATTTCGACACGAACTTGAAAATGACCCAACCCAACACGAATCTGACACGACTCAATTATCACCCCTAATTTTAGCCAACACAAAAAAAAATAGTCATTTTTATTTTTCATCCATCCAACCAAACAAAAAGAAAGGAAAATGTATAATTTATATTTTCTTTCCTTAAAGGATAAAAAATGTATCTCTCCTACTTTTCATCCTTCCTACCAAACGGAGCATTAGTTTTGATAGACTACAATAGTTCTTTTTCTAAGAAAATTTTAATTTTATAATCAAAAAACTCTAAAATATAAATAATCTTAAACTTATCTTTGAATAACTTCAGTTCATATACACATTTTTCTCACTCTCTTCTCAGATAATTTTTTGGGAGATTTAAACTTATAAGCTTTGATTTTATTTTTACTGTGTCAAAGATTTGACTTTAAGAGTAACCATACAGCTTCTAATAGGTTTCTTATTCAGAAATTGATTAAATTAGGATTAATCATTGGGTTTTAGAGTTTGGTTTTTTGAAGTATTTGCTGAAAAAATTAAGAGCTTATAAGTTTTTCTTAAATTCCACCTTCAAACTTGGGCCTGAGCTCGAGCTCGGCGAGTCATAACTAAGTCAAGCTTGAACATATTGACACTAACCATCTTGGTTTGATTCAGATCTATGTCGAACATTTTTCACTTATATTCCTTTTGTTGTGTTGTGTGTGAAGTTGTGTATGATGTAATTTTAGTAATTTCTTACCAGGTCTACTGGCTTTTGTCCAAGTTCAAATTAATCAAGCAAGAAACTTTGTTTTTTTTGTTCATCTAAATAAGGGTTTTAGATTTGGGAACATAAAAGTTTGTATCATAGCCACAAGTTTATAAAACATATGGTTAAAACGACTTTTGACTATCAAATAAAATTAGGATTTGTACTATATAGGGATTTTTTAGTAACTATTCTGAATCCAACCCAGTTTTGGGAATCGCTTATTTTTCATCTCTAGGCACTCTCCTAATTTGATTTTTTTGCATTTTTTTTGTTTTTATTTTTTACTTTGGGAGTGCTCCGAATTTTGGATATATAAACTAGGACTTCAACCGAGCCAATTATTTGTCTACCTAATTAAGAGATACTTGAGCTTTCTAAGCACCCAACTTATCATAAACTTCATCCGTTTCACATATACGCTAAGAATATACTTGTTTCAAATTTTATAAAGTAAATTCCTAACCAAGTTAATTTCTGTCGGGTTGAATACTTCACGATATATACAAGTTTCTACAATTATGAACTTGGATTAATGGCAATAGGTTTTGGTGCACTTCTATCAAACACTTTACCAACTGACCAACCTCAGCCTAAGTAATCTAAAGGCGTAGGAAACTTTTAGGCAAAGATATTGGAAACTTGCAAAGAACAAAACGTGCTCTTTTAGAGGCCCAATTGAGGACAATATGTGATTGATACAGTTTACGTGTGGAAAAGGGCGTTCGAAACTAGTAAACTGAAAAAATTAGTTTAGAAACAATTGAAAAGAGAGAAGCTTCAAGATTTAGTTGGAATTTTAGCCAAATTCCACACCTACTACTCCTAAATCTTCTTGTTTTGATGATTGAGATTCATGACCAAGTTAATTGGGACATTGAGTCCACTGGATTTTGACCAATAGCAATAGATGGACTTGTGTATCTTATAAGAAGGGATTTTTAGAAGCCAGACCTCCTTTGGAGTCTTATTATTAGGCTTTTTAAGTCCATTCAAAAAAATAATAATAATTAAGAGTTAAATAACCCTTCATAATAAGAAGATTAAATTACCCCTAAAGCAACAATTACGCCTAATTAAAACAAATTTGGAAATTAAAATTGTAGAGTTCTTTCTCATGTCATGAGCAATTTGAGGCATTATCGTATTTTATTGCAACACACACTTGCCAAAGGCATTATATAACAAAAAAACTCAAGAATTGAAATCGCCTCAAAGCAAAAAGAGGACGATAATCATTCAAACTTTGTAAAACCTGACAACATACAGGTATGCTACACTCGGAAATTAGCTTGTAATTATCTCATCCGGGGCAAAACCTCAATGTGATCTTTAAATAAACTTGGCACATTATCAACCACAATTTTTGCATCATTATCAAAAGAAATCACGCCCAAATTTGGAACTAACTTATGTGCAAAACATACTCTTCCCTTCATTAGAAGCAACCACTATTTCAACATCCACAACAACGTTTAGCTCTACTTTAAGCAAACAAATCCAATGCAACTTAAAAAAGTTTGGTAAAAATGGCCATTGACAAAAGCTTTACATGTATTCATTTTATTCAAAATCATATGAATATTGCTCAAGTCGTTGAGGTAATCATGGGATATATAATCTACGCATCAAAATTCATGTATCAATTCTTAACTATAGAATAATCGTCTTGAGAGAGACATAGGGTATATATATTCAATTTTCCTAAGCATATAAATTCATAAAAATATAAGCATAATTTCTCTAAAAATAGGATCCCAAAACTATTTCAACCTGTATACACGGTCTATGTATCTTGTAACAACATCCTAGAAGCCTAGTAACTGATACATACTTGATTATTCTACAACACTAATCGATTATTGAACTCAACATCAAGCCACAGTTTTGTCTTATTACTACCATGTACTAACTACCGCAACATCATAATAGAAAAGCAACGAAAATATAATAAACAAAATCAACAAAGTTCAAACACATTTAACTGTAGACCACTCACCATTCTCCAAAAATGGGAGACACATATTTCACGTGCCTGCTTAAACTTATATGCTCAAAACTAATGCAAAAACCACCTATTCAAATTTTAATTTCAACTTAAAATAAGCTAACCTATGACGCAATAATCTTGAAATTTCGCATATGCAAATCAAAATTTAGATAACACATAACTCACCTCATTTTGGACAAAAGGTCACCAATCAACAGAAAAATAAGAATGAAATAGCAGCTAATATACAAACATATATCTTATTGTAGAGTTTTATTGATCAAAGTCAAACCCATAACAACTTATGTAATTTGAACCATCACTACAACACTTTGGAGTAGAATCAACAGTAAAAACCACCAAAGATACTTCAACATGGCAAAAAAAAAAAAAAACACCGCCTTGAAGGTTTTTTTTATGTTTAGAGACTGAAATTTCTAATCATCATCAAGTTTCTATCACAACTAACAAAGAGGATTTAGTAGTAAACTCAGTTTCTAAAGTTAATGCACATTTTCTCATCAACCATGTCAACACCGGAGATGTATTTTGTTTTAAATCAGCTTAACTCCGAAATGATTATTTCGTGCACCCATTTATCATTCCTAACTACTCTTTGATAATTTCAAGCATAAACAACAAAATAAACATTTTATGGGCATCCCCATTACAATACTGATTAGTAAAATAAGTACGCCACAGATAAAAATTGCATCACATGTGTAAATTAGCAATGCTACTTTCAAAACTTAACCTAAAGAAAAGATACCAAAGTCAGACAGTACTTGACCAGAGTAATTTTGAAAGTCATTGAAAACAACCACCTTCAAGGAGCTATAACCCCGAGCTTGAG